TAATGTCCTGGTGCCAGTCTCACGGTTATATCACCATACAGGTTGTACACGTCAGTAGCTGATGAGACTAATGTCCTGGTGCCAGTCTCACGGTTATGTCACCATACAGGTTGTACACGTCAGTAGCTGATGAGACTAATGTCCTGGTGCCAGTCTCACGGTTATATCACCATACAGGTTGTACACACCAGTAGCTGATGAGACTAATGTCCTGGTGCCAGTCTCACGGTTATGTCACCATACAGGTTGTACACGTCAGTAGCTGATGAGACTAATGTCCTGGTGCCAGTCTCACGGTTATGTCACCATACAGGTTGTACACGTCAGTAGCTGATGAGACTAATGTCCTGGTGCCAGTCTCACGGTTATATCACCATACAGGTTGTACACGTCAGTAGCTGATGAGACTAATGTCCTGGTGCCAGTCTCACGGTTATATCACCATACAGGTTGTACACACCAGTAGCTGATGAGACTAATGTCCTGGTGCCAGTCTCACGGTTATATCACCATACAGGTTGTACACGCCAGTAGCTGATGAGACTAATGTCCTGGTGCCAGTCTCACGGTTATGTCACCATACAGGTTGTACACGTCAGTAGCTGATGAGACTAATGTCCTGGTGCCAGTCTCACGGTTATATCGCCATACAGGTTGTACACGTCAGTACCAGTAGCTGATGAGACTAATGTCCTGGTGCCAGTCTCACGGTTATATCGCCATACAGGTTGTACACACCAGTAGCTGATGAGACTAATGTCCTGGTGCCAGTCTCACGGTTATATCGCCATACAGGTTGTACACACCAGTAGCTGATGAGACTAATGTCCTGGTGCCAGTCTCACGGTTATATCACCATACAGGTTGTACACGTCAGTAGCTGATGAGACTAATGTCCTGGTGCCAGTCTCACGGTTATATCACCATACAGGTTGTACACGTCAGTAGCTGATGAGACTAATGTCCTGGTGCCAGTCTCACGGTTATATCACCATACAGGTTGTACACGTCAGTAGCTGATGAGACTAATGTCCTGGTGCCAGTCTCACGGTTATATCACCATACAGGTTGTACACGTCAGTAGCTGATGAGACTAATGTCCTGGTGCCAGTCTCACGGTTATATCACCATACAGGTTGTACACGTCAGTAGCTGATGAGACTAATGTCCTGGTGCCAGTCTCACGGTTATGTCACCATACAGGTTGTACACGTCAGTACCTGATGAGACTAATGTCCTGGTGCCAGTCTCACGGTTATATCACCATACAGGTTGTACACACCCAGTAGCTGATGAGACTAATGTCCTGGTGCCAGTCTCACGGTTATATCACCATACAGGTTGTACACGTCAGTAGCTGATGAGACTAATGTCCTGGTGCCAGTCTCACGGTTATATCACCATACAGGTTGTACACGTCAGTAGCTGATGAGACTAATGTCCTGGTGCCAGTCTCACGGTTATATCACCATACAGGTTGTACACGTCAGTAGCTGATGAGACTAATGTCCTGGTGCCAGTCTCACGGTTATATCGCCATACAGGTTGTACACGTCAGTAGCTGATGAGACTAATGTCCTGGTGCCAGTCTCACGGTTATGTCACCATACAGGTTGTACACGTCCAGTAGCTGATGAGACTAATGTCCTGGTGCCAGTCTCACGGTTATATCGCCATACAGGTTGTACACGTCAGTAGCTGATGAGACTAATGTCCTGGTGCCAGTCTCACGGTTATATCACCATACAGGTTGTACACGTCAGTAGCTGATGAGACTAATGTCCTGGTGCCAGTCTCACGGTTATATCACCATACAGGTTGTACACGTCAGTAGCTGATGAGACTAATGTCCTGGTGCCAGTCTCACGGTTATATCACCATACAGGTTGTACACGTCAGTAGCTGATGAGACTAATGTCCTGGTGCCAGTCTCACGGTTATATCACCATACAGGTTGTACACGTCAGTAGCTGATGAGACTAATGTCCTGGTGCCAGTCTCACGGTTATATCACCATACAGGTTGTACACGTCAGTAGCTGATGAGACTAATGTCCTGGTGCCAGTCTCACGGTTATGTCACCATACAGGTTGTACACGTCAGTAGCTGATGAGACTAATGTCCTGGTGCCAGTCTCACGGTTATATCACCATACAGGTTGTACACGTCAGTAGCTGATGAGACTAATGTCCTGGTGCCAGTCTCACGGTTATATCACCATACAGGTTGTACACGTCAGTAGCTGATGAGACTAATGTCCTGGTGCCAGTCTCACGGTTATATCACCATACAGGTTGTACACGTCAGTAGCTGATGAGACTAATGTCCTGGTGCCAGTCTCACGGTTATATCACCATACAGGTTGTACACGTCAGTAGCTGATGAGACTAATGTCCTGGTGCCAGTCTCACGGTTATATCGCCATACAGGTTGTACACGTCAGTAGCTGATGAGACTAATGTCCTGGTGCCAGTCTCACGGTTATGTCACCATACAGGTTGTACACGTCAGTAGCTGATGAGACTAATGTCCTGGTGCCAGTCTCACGGTTATATCGCCATACAGGTTGTACACGTCAGTAGCTGATGAGACTAATGTCCTGGTGCCAGTCTCACGGTTATATCACCATACAGGTTGTACACGTCAGTAGCGATGAGACTAATGTCCTGGTGCCAGTCTCACGGTTATATCACCATACAGGTTGTACACGTCAGTAGCTGATGAGACTAATGTCCTGGTGCCAGTCTCACGGTTATATCGCCATACAGGTTGTACACGTCAGTAGCTGATGAGACTAATGTCCTGGTGCCAGTCTCACGGTTATATCACCATACAGGTTGTACACGTCAGTAGCTGATGAGACTAATGTCCTGGTGCCAGTCTCACGGTTATATCACCATACAGGTTGTACACGTCAGTAGCTGATGAGACTAATGTCCTGGTGCCAGTCTCACGGTTATATCGCCATACAGGTTGTACACACCAGTAGCTGATGAGACTAATGTCCTGGTGCCAGTCTCACGGTTATATCACCATACAGGTTGTACACGTCAGTAGCTGATGAGACTAATGTCCTGGTGCCAGTCTCACGGTTATATCACCATACAGGTTGTACACGTCAGTAGCTGATGAGACTAATGTCCTGGTGCCAGTCTCACGGTTATATCGCCATACAGGTTGTACACACCAGTAGCTGATGAGACTAATGTCCTGGTGCCAGTCTCACGGTTATATCACCATACAGGTTGTACACGTCAGTAGCTGATGAGACTAATGTCCTGGTGCCAGTCTCACGGTTATATCGCCATACAGGTTGTACACGTCAGTAGCTGATGAGACTAATGTCCTGGTGCCAGTCTCACGGTTATATCACCATACAGGTTGTACACGTCAGTAGCTGATGAGACTAATGTCCTGGTGCCAGTCTCACGGTTATATCACCATACAGGCTGTACACGTCAGTAGCTGATGAGACTAATGTCCTGGTGCCAGTCTCACGGTTATATCACCATACAGGTTGTACACGTCAGTAGCTGATGAGACTAATGTCCTGGTGCCAGTCTCACGGTTATATCGCCATACAGGTTGTACACGTCAGTAGCTGATGAGACTAATGTCCTGGTGCCAGTCTCACGGTTATATCACCATACAGGTTGTACACGTCAGTAGCTGATGAGACTAATGTCCTGGTGCCAGTCTCACGGTTATATCGCCATACAGGTTGTACACACCAGTAGCTGATGAGACTAATGTCCTGGTGCCAGTCTCACGGTTATATCACCATACAGGCTGTACACGCCAGTAGCTGATGAGACTAATGTCCTGGTGCCAGTCTCACGGTTATATCACCATAGAGGCTATACACGTCAGTAGCTGATGAGACTAATGTTCCCCCAAGACACTGAGATACCAGGTCTTTTGGTATTCATGACCCACTTGTGTTATTCCGGAACAAGCCAAGTAGCGACTTCTCTGGACGGATTTCACACTGGTGTTTGAACATCAGAACTACTTCAAACAAGAACAATCACTCTATTTCTGTTTAACACCAACAGTAATAAACATGACAGAAGCACTCGACAGCTGCTGCTTATTAAATTTTAACCTGTTTTAAACAATAATGATGGTGATTTGTTAAAAACATATTCTACGTAGTTATTACCAGCTGTTCACTGTATTTTTCCAAATGTATATTATTAAATAGGCTAAAGAATCACAAATAGGTTTTTTCTTCTTCCTGAAATAAGCAATTCAAATAAACATTTTATTTCACCTGTCCCAAAACAGATGTACAAAAATGACTGTAAAATATCTACAACTGTCTTATCTATGGTGCGAACCTGCTTACCGGCATGCCAAGGTTATATAATTTTATTACCTACGAGGGCGAAAATATCGGGTTCATATTTTACATACGATGCCCTAGGGCAAAATATCACTTTGTCATGTTGGCGTGACGTCATGAACAATGCTATGACGTCACGTTTCTTCTATGACTCGTGCCTAAATATCGGTATATCCCTTGCTCTCGCTCGGGAAATACCAACATTTAGGCACTCGTGTCGTAAACATAGTATGACATGGGCAGTCATATAATATCCTCTCTATATATACGCTCTCCGACATTTTTAGGTGATGTCATAATGGAAGCTGATCAGATGAACAGGACGTAGTCCTATTTTTAGCGGAACCTTCGTTTCAAAACTATTTGATAATGCATATGCGTCACGTTTTATGTACTTGATAGAGTGAGTGAGTGAATATGGTTTTACTCCGCTTATAGCCATATTCCAGCAATATCACGGCGGCGGAGTCCAGAAATGGGCTTCACACATTGTACCCATGTAGGGAATCGAACCCGGGCCTTCGGCGTGACGAGCCAACGCTTTAACCACAAGGCTACCCCACCGCCCCGTAATTGATATAAATTCGCAAAACGTGCTTATGACATCGCTGTTATTGGTTCTAAGAAGATATTCATTGCGTGTGGGTTTTTGCAGGGGAGTTTCACAGGCGTGCTCGGACCGACATTGCCAGCGCTGGAATGTCTCTTCAGTTCCAACCTAAAATCAATCTCGATCATTTTCTTCGTGTTTGGCATGATGAATGCCCTGGGTTCAGTGTTGGGCTGTTTCTTGTTGTCGAGGTTGGAGCTCCATCTTGTGATGTCAGCAGCGACGACAATAGCCCTTGTGTCACAGTGCGTCTTCCCCTTCCTGTACGATGTATACTCAGCCATTGTCATGTCCGCCATTACCGCCCTATGCATAGGGGTACTCTTTAACAGTAAGTACTTGGATTGACATTACATGAACACATGACAAATCAGATATACAGGGGTACTCTTTAACAGTAAGTACCTGGATTGACATTACATGAACTCATGACAAATCAGATATACAGGGATCCTAACAGTAAGTACCTGGACTCATTACATGAACTCAGTAAATCAGATATACAGGATCCTCTTTAACAGTAAGTACCTGGACTGACATTACATGAACAAATCAGATATACAGGGATCCTCTTTAACAGTAAGTACTTGGACTGACATTACATGAACTCATGACAAATCAGGTGTACAGGGATCCTCTTTAACAGTAAGTACTTGGATTGACATTACATGAACTCATGACAAATCAGATATACAGGGATCCTCTTTAACAGTAAGTACTTGGACTGACATTACATGAACTCATGACAAATCAGATATACAGGGATCCTCTTTAACAGTAAGTACTTGGACTGACATTACATGAACACATGACAAATCAGATATACAGGGATCCTCTTTAACAGTAAGTACCTGGACTGACATTACATGAACACATGACAAATCAGGTGTACAGGGATCCTCTTTAACAGTAAGTACTCGGTCTGAAATTACATGAACTCATGACAAATCAGATATACAGGGGTCCTCTTTACCAGTAAGTACTCGGTCTGAAATTACATGAACTCATGACAAATCAGATATACAGGGATCCTCTTTAACAGTAAGTACTTGGGCTGACATTACATGAACTCATGACAAATCAGATATACAGGGGTCCTCTTTAACAGTTAGTACTTGGATTGACATTACATGAACACATGACAAATCAGATATACAGGGGTCCTCTTTAACAGTAAGTACTCGGTCTGAAATTACATGAACTCATGACAAATCAGATATACAGGGATCCTCTTTAACAGTAAGTACTTGGACTGACATTACATGAACACATGACAAATCAGATATACAGGGGTCCTCTTTAACAGTAAGTACTTGGTCTGACATTACATGAACTCATGACAAATCAGATATACAGGGATCCTCTTTAACAGTAAGTACCTGGACTGACATTACCTGAACACATGACAAATCAGATATACAGGGATCCTCTTTACCAGTAAGTACTCGGACTGACATTACCTGAACTCATGACAAATCAGATATACAGGGATCCTCTTTAACAGTAAGTACTTGGATTGACATTACATGAACACATGACAAATCAGATATACAGGGATCACCAGTAAGTACCTGGATTGACATTACAACACATGATCAGGTATACAGGGGTACTCTTTAACAGTAAGTACCTGGATTGACATTACATGAACTCATGACAAATCAGATACATGTATACAGGGGTCTGACAAGCAGGGTTTTCTGACACGGATCTCCACGGGTTATATGATTATATAGACAGCAGGGAGGCATAGATATTATTTCATAACTGCAAGGCATCAATCCAACACGGACCTTTTACGATTGCTTGAACACAAAGTAAAATTACAATTCTGCAACATACAGCATTATTGGCCATGTTTTGCGTGTGATCCTTATTATGCAATATCAAACCATCACAAAAACTAAGTGTATATTTTACTCCCAGGGTTCTGTTACTTGAACATGTTTTCTATGACCTTAACAGATGTTATCTGGTGACGATCCACCTTTGTCTAAAATCATAAATTGGTGTGTGATAGGAGCGAAATATTCTTAAGCACGACGATAAACCCCATTTCACCTCACCTCATCGTTTAGTTTTACGCCACACTCACAATACCCCAGCTATATGGCGGCGGTCTGTAAATAATCAAGTCTGGACCAGACAATCCATGAGAATCAATCTATTGGTATACGATGGCATGTGTCAACCAAGTCAGCGAGCCTGACCACCCGGTCCCGTTAGTCACTTCGTACGACAAGTATGGCTTACTGAAGATCAATTCTAACCCGGATCTTTACGGGTCTAATAGCAATTGCTCTAATGTTCCCCACACGTCAGTGAATAACTGTGAATAACCAATATAAACTAATAACCTACTAAAGTCTATCATCATTCACATGCAACTGTTTACAGGTGCTTGTCATCATAACTTTAAATATCTCCCATGTGTTTGCAGGTCGTATTTTCCGAGCTGATGACCTATGGCCACAACAACCGTTCGCTGTCCATCTGGTCATCGCAGGGTTTGCTCTGGGCCCGATCGTAGCGTCCTTGGTGGCTTCACCCTTCCTGAGCGACCAGGAACTACAACCCAATATGACCTCCCTCAACACAGAAAACGCGTCGCTGTGTCCCAAGAACACCTTTCGTGTTCAATACGTATACATTATCCTGGCGTGTTCTGGAATCCCCTTGTCTGTCACCATGATGGTCCTCTTCGCCTACTTCCGCGAGAGAGCTCCCTGTTATTCCTACATATTTGAGTCGAGCGCTACGGGCGACCGCTCCACCAATCGGCGAGGATACACTCTGTTTCTTGTGTTCTTTTACCTACTGTGTATGCCAGCTGGGGAATATTCGTAACCTATGGCAACCTGCTATCGACGTACGGAGTGAACAGCAAGATGGAGATCAGCCCCAGCTACATGGCGTTGATAACAGCACTGTTCTGGGGAGCCTTTGTGACCGGGCGGATTCTCATGACAATAATCTCCATCTTCGTTCGTCAGATCTGGATTATAATAGTCTGCTATATTGGCTTGTTTTCAGCATCAATACTGCTTATTGTTCTCGGACGAGAAAGTGAGGTTTGTCTCGCAGTTGTCACGGCCTTCTTTGGATTTTTCTGTGCACCTTTCTCCGCTGTGAGCTTCTCGTGGACCAGGGAACATGTGAGGTTGACGGGATTTGTAATAGCACTAGGAAGTGTTGGGGAATACACAGGGGCCATGGTGGGCCCCTACGTGGGTGGTGTGCTTATGGGGACGTACGGTTCGGATGCCTTTCTGTACGTTGTGCTGGGTATTGTGACCTACCAGTTTTCTATATTTTGCTGCTTCTACGTCATAAGTAAATACATCCTGGAGAAAAGGGTAGATGAACGAATGCAGCTGCTTCAATTAAGTTCAAATGACTCATTGAGTGAGTGAGTTTAGTTTTACGCCGCTTTTAGCAATATTCCAGCAATATCACGACGGGGGACACCAGAAATGGGCTTCACACTTTGTACCCATGTTGGGAATCCAACCCGAGTCTTCGGCGTGACGAGCGTATGCCTTAACCACTTGGCTACCCCAATGCCCACTCAAATGACTCAAGTTCTATTTCAGATTAGTACCAGTCATTAGCCTATCATTGACGTGCCTTTGCATGTGTTTGTGACTGGTGCCACTGGCGGGGCAGGATACGTTATGCTGTTCACATATCACTGTTCGTAAAGCACATGCTCATTATACATACTTGTACTCAACTAGTAATTTGCGTCCCCGTGAGGGGTGGCGGGGTAGTCTAGTGGTTAAAGTGTTGGCTCGTCACGCCGAAGACCCGGGTTCGATTCCCCACATGGGTACAATGTGTGAAGACCATTTCTGGTGTCTTATGCCGTGATATTGCTGGAATATTGCTAAAAGCGGCGTAAAAGCATACTCACTCACTCAATTTCCTCCCCGTAAACTTATTTAGATCTAACGTGCTGGGCAAAGAGGGTATACACCAAGTATGAAAGCTTATGAAATGTTACTTAATCTCGATAACCTTGGCTATGAGACACGGGCTTCAAAAATTCGCTAACTTTCCAATCCTCAATATAGCCTTAATATTCCAGCCTTTGGTGTTTGCATTTGACATTTTTCAGGAACTATCGACCATGCTCTTTCCACTAGGATGTCAAAGAGCGCCAAGCCCTCAGATGTTTTGTTTGGTGCTTACTGCATCACTCAACAACTGACGATGGTCTAGTTGACGACAGTCTAGATGACGACAGTCTAGATGACGAGGGTCTAGTTCACGACAGTCTAGATGACGATGGTCTAGTTGACGACAGTCTAGATGACGAGGGTCTAGTTCACGACAGTCTAGATGACGACGGTCTAGTTGACGACGGTCTAGATGACAGTGGTCTAGTTGACGACAGTCTAGATGACGATGGTCTAGTTGACGACAGTCTAGATGACGATGGTCTAGTTGACGACAGTCTAGATGACGAGGGTCTAGTTGACGACAGTCTAGATGACGATGGTCTAGTTGACGACAGTCTAGATGACGACGGTCTAGTTGACGACGGTCTAGATGACAGTGGTCTAGTTGACGACAGTCTAGATGACAATGGTCTAGATGACGATGGTCTAGATGACGACAGTCTAGTTGACGACGGTCTAGATGACAGTGGTCTAGTTGACGAAGGTCTAGATGACAATGGTCTAGTTGACGAAGGTCTAGATGACAATGGTCTGGTTGACGACGGTCGAGATGACAGTGGTCTAGCTCACGACGGTCTAGATGACAATGGTCTGGTTCACGACAGTTTAGATGACAATGGTCTAGATGACGACGGTCTAGTTGACGACGGTCTAGATGACAGTGGTCTAGTTGACGACGGTCTATATGACAGTGGTCTAGTTGACGACGGTCGAGTTGACGACAGTCTAGTTGATGACAGTCTAGATGACAATGGTCTGGTTGATGATGGTCTAGATTACAATGGTCTGGTTGATGATGGTCTAGATGACAATGGTCTGGTTGATGATGGTCTAGATGACAATGGTCTGGTTGATGATGGTCTAGATGACAATGGTCTGGTTGATGATGGACTAGATGACAATGGTCTAGTTGATGATGGTCTAGATGACAATGGTCTGGTTGACGATGGTCTAGATGACAATGGTCTAGTTGACGGTCTAGATGACAATGGTCTGGTTGATGATGGTCTAGATGACAATGGTCTGGTTGACGGTCTAGATGACAATGGTCTAGTTGACGACTGTCTAGATGACGTCGGTCTAGTCGTACAGCTGTAATACTGCTGAAACAAATATCTGCTCATGCTATAGTCACAATTGTACAATCGACTGCTTATTTCTTATCAATGTGGAAAGAGTTGGACTACTAGACCCATTTACACCTTGCCCACCATGAAGGTTTGCTAAGTTTCTAAACTTAGGTACGAGGTAGATTAACATTTAGTCACTGATATGAACATCTGTCATATATTAGAGATAAAAACTGTTCCTAAATTATATTCATAAAGTATAATAAAAATCAGACCAGAAAAAAAATGTCTAAACTTTTATAAAGTAGTAAAGCTGCCACACGCTTTAATATAATCAAGAATGACACTCTGAACTTCATGGCGAACAATCTTCCCTGGGCACAAGAGTCCAGCCAATGCAATGTCAATATAGAGAGCTGTAAGAGATTCCACCATCGCCGTACGTTGATTACATATGTTTGGCAATGCAGTAAATGATGCACCACATTATCCAGCTGATTACACACTGAACAATTCACAGAAATATCTTTATTAATAATACTAAGATATACACCAAGACCACAATGACCAAGACGAAGTCTAGTTAAAAGAACTCCTCCTTCCCGATTGTTTCGAGATGCATGTGATTTCGACAGAAAAGGTTCAATGCCATACAGAAGGCGTCCTTTTAAGGATGATGCCCATCTCTGTTGCTATTTTGTTAGCTGGAGAAGGTAATATAGTCTCATCCTGTTCTGATACATCAACATCTAAAGCAGCTATTACCAATTTATCAGCTTTTTCATTTCCAAGAAGTCCAACATGAACAGGTATCCATGAGAATTCAACATCTAAAAGATCATCAGTTAAATCATTAAAAAGGACGAGTAAAATGGTGATTAAGTCCTGCCTCGCTGAGGGAAAAAACCTGCCCGAATTGCTTGTAAATCGCTGAAAATGACCCCTACAGGTCTTAAAAAATTAATACAACGTAATGCTTCAATGATTGCTGCATGTGCAGCAGAAAATACTGACAAGTGATCGGAAATGTCTCTGTTTTCATTAGCAATGAAGATACCGGCACCAACACGACCGGACACTGGGCACTCAGACTCATCAGTATGAATCTGCATAGCATTGATCCACTGTAAACTTCGCATGTTTCTCGGCTATGGCTTCAACGCGAGATGCTGCCTCAGATTTATTTACCTGTTCCAGTATGTCAAAATAAACCTATGGAAGTTCCAAGAACCATGCTGGCTTCTTAAGCGCAACATAAATATCATCTATGGCAATATCACGTGCAGCATGATGGAAGCAGTTCTCTGAGAACGCATTCTCTAAGGCCCCATACCTTTCCAAGGTTCTAGAAAATATTCAACGCATTCTTCCAACACATTTGACGCATTTTTTAACTCCAAAAGATTACAATTTTAACATATGTATAACTCTAACCAGTTCACGTCTGAGATTTAAAGGCATTTCACCCGGTTCATCTTGTAAAGTCTGAGCAGAGGTTGTTCTGAACGCTCCAAGACATATTCGAAGGGCTTATTACTGGACAACATCTAGTCTTGCTTTTTGTGTGGCACAGCCGAAATCAAGTTGGGGTCTAATGAGGGCACGATATAACAGTAATAAACACTTCCTGTCTGCACCCCATTTGGTACTGGAAATACTTCTCAGAAGGTTCAGGACTTTATTGCACTTCGGAATCAGATAGTCTATGTGAGGTTTCGAGATAAGCCTCTTATCAAACCATAGTCCCCAAAATTTGACTTTATCCATGTGTGGATCTCTGTCTGATCTCCTGGAGAAACATGCATCTGCTGTTTCCAAGACAGTGCGTTGTAGGCCAAGCAATGCTTGGTATTGTGACGAAATACGAACTGCTAAACAATCTCGACGAATTGCGGAACGAAGATGGCGCAAATCAAGGCTTGATGTTCATAGAGAACTCTGCAAGCTGGAGCGCAACATTGTCAAGAATATTATTCGTTCTGCTAAGAAAATGTTTCACGATGAAACTATCTTGTCTGATCTATGCAACCCCAAGCCTCTGTGGTCTCACATGTTGGGACGAGAGAAAGACTATACACTTCCTGATGCTGAAAGGGATGCCGCATTGGCTGATGAGTTCAACATTTGTTTTTAACAGACAGGGTATCATCTGTCGTGAGAAGCTTTACACCGACTACTGACACTCAATTAACCAACGAGCAAGTCCCTGTATGTCCTGAGTTCAGTGAATTTCAACCTTTGACAGATGAACAGGTCCTACATTTGATCAATGACTCTAAGCCCACCACATGTGAACTGGACCCTTTTCCTTGTAGTGGATGTCTTCCTACCATAACCGGGATCATCAACACCAGTCTGGCAAGCGGGTCTGTACCACAGTCTTTTAAGAAAGCATCTGTCACATCCAACTTGGACAAACACATAATGAAACACTATCGACCTGTTTCTAATAATCTTTTTTTGGTCAAAGATACTCGAAAAGGCAGTGAACAAGCAAATTTTGCATCACTTAGAAGAACACAATATCATGGCCAAGTTCCAGTCCGCATATAGGAAAGCCCATAGAACTGAGACTGCTCTCCTCAGAGCACTTAATGACCTCCAACAGGCTGTGGATGCTGGACAAGTTGCTGTGTTAGTTCTCCTGGACCTCTCGTGAGCTTTCGATACGGTTGACCATGGTAAGCTGATGCAAAGGCTGCAGATTGACTATGGAATCAGTGTCAAGGTTTTGTCATGGTTTCTTTCCTGTGTATCAGGGCGGCAATAAACGTGTGTGATCAAGAACTCACACTCCTCTATAGTCTCTGGGGACTACGGTGTCCCTCAAGGTTCTGTTTTGGGACCTCTGTTATTACCATGTACACCAAGTAGTTGGAGGAGGTAATCCAGAGCCACAATGCCCTACAGCATCTATATGCAGATGACACTCAGATGACCGATAGCTTCAAGTTGAACACCAACTCTCCACTGATGAACATGGAGAACTGCTGTGCATCTGTCAAGGCTTGGATGAACACCAATCTCCTCAAACTAAATGAGGGCAAGACAGAGGTGATGTTAGTCGGCCCAGCCTCCCGCCATTGGCAGTATCCGCCACCTTCTGACTGAGGATTCTACAGCAGCACTTTTTCGATCTCTGATACTTTCCCACATTGATTACTGTAACAGCCGCCTGCTCCATATCTCACAGCAACTCATTAATCGACTCCAGAGAATTCAGAATACTGCAGCACGCATTGTCACAAAAAACCCTAAATTTGCAGTATTACTCCTGTCCCGAAACGCCTACACTGGTTACCAATCCGAGCGAGAGTTGACTTCAAGATACTGACTCTAACATACCAGTGTTCACAGAACAGCTCCAGTGTACTTCCAGGAACTCCTCAGGCGGTACATCCCCGGTAGACCACTTCGCTCCAGTCACAGAGACCTTCTGCATGTTTCTCGTTGGCAGCTGAAATCATATGGTTTCCGTTCTTTCCAGGTGGCAGCGGTCAAGAAACGGAACGAATTGCCCAACCATCTGCGAACATCTCCAACTCTGACTCTATTTAGATCTCACCTCAAAACTCACCTTTTCTCAGTATCATATGACTGCAACTAGGACTCTCTGTATAGGCTATGAGCATGCCTTCGGCGTGGAATTTGGAATTTACTTATACTTATTATGTTTTACTGATTAAAGATAGTATGCAGCAGAGAGGGTTCGGGTGATCCTGGCACAGTCAGGCTGGTAAGGCTCATCATCAACTCAGGGCCCTTGCCCCATCTACACGCAGCCCAGACAGCGAATGGAACTTCTCCCAGGAAACGCTGCCTAGTCGAACCCACCAAGAACTTTCCATTATTATTATTATTATTATTATTATTATCCACAGACCTGAACTCACTCACTCCCTTGGTCATAGTGCCACGGCAGGTGGGATGTGGGTGGTATTGTTTGAGGGGGAGTGGGACCCAAAGTAGAGTATATGAGCAACGCATTAACGGCTGTTATGACTATAATCATTATGAATGAATGAATGAATGAATGAATGAATGAGATTATATGTACGATATATATGTACCCCTTGTGTTCAGATATGTTGATGTAATGACAGGATCATGTGCTTCGTGAAATGGATATAAAAACATCAAACAACCAATCATTTTGCTCTGAAAGAAAAAGAAAATAAAACTCACACAAAAATATGATGCTCGTTCAATAATTCAAAAGCAATGCATATATTTGGTTTCGTGTTTCTACTAGACGACATATGGTTAGATTGGCTCTTACTTGCCCAATATTGCAACAGGGAGAGACGGTGGGGTAGCCTAATGGTTGAAGCGCCCGCTCATCACGCTGAAGACCCGGGTTCGATTCACCACATGGGTACAATGTGTGATACCCATTTCTGGTGTCCCCCGTCGTGATATTGCTGGGATATTGCTAAAAGCGGCGTAAAACCATACTCAATTGAACACGGCTTTTTCTAATGTTGACATGACTGGGACACTCCAATCGTACTTGATAGTGGGCAGGTCCAAGATCAGTAAGAATCGAGAACACCCTTAAACATAGTGCGAAATAATGCTTAATGATTCAAAATATGTTTCTCATGAGTAATTGGTATGAACATTGAAGCACTCTTTGACTAAAGCCAGTAATATACTCATGGAAACAAATAAGGGAACGCATGAAAGTACAAGTGTTCCTTTATTCTTTTGAAGGTTTCTTCACAAGGTATGTGTTGCCCTGTGAGTGAAATTCTGGAAATAAATATACGCTTATACTTTCAGGCGTTCCCTTATTTGTTTTTATGAGGCTAAAAACAAACTACGTACATCATCGTCCTAGTTATCTCTCATACATGTTTCAATTATGTTGGAACTGATCATGTAATTGGCTATTTGCAGCGCGGCTATTATCTATTAACACTTATATGAGTTCACAGCCAAAGATTAACTAGTGAGTAAGTGAGTTTAGTTTTTACGCAGCACTCAGCAATATTCCAGCTATACGGCGGCGGTCTGTAAATAATCGAGTCTGGACCAGACAATCTAGTGATCAACAGCATGAACATCGATTTGCGCAATTGGCAACAAATGACAAGTGTCAACCAAGTCAGCGAGCCTGACCACCCGATCCCGTTGGTCGCCTCTCACGACAAGCATGGGTTACTGAAGATCAATTCTAACCTGGATCTTCACGGGTCCAAAGATTAACTAACCTATTTCCTGTTAATAAAGATATTTCTGACAAAACGGAAATTCATTTATTTATGGGTACGCTGAATTGTAAGTAATCTGATATAACCGACAATATATAAGTATCGTAAATGTCCAACAGCTGGCATATTAGTAAAGAAATCAGACCCCACAGAAGATATCTTTTATCAGCACAGTCCATTAGCCTACCTTTGCTGGCACAACTGCTTTCAAGCCCTCGAAAGCACTCGAGAACAAGCTGAACGTGGCCGAAATAAGATAACCTTAGTCCGGTTGTATCCCAAAACTTCCACATCCCAAAACTTCCACATACCAAAACTACCACACATTGTTGAAAAAACAACTCCTCATCAGCCCTTTTTAGGTAATAGGATAGCCCAGGAAGTGCACTGAACTGAAACAACAGATAATGATACATCACCTGACTTCGAGTAGAGGTTTTAGTACAGAAGAGAGTAGTTCGTTAATAAATCTGAAATATACATAATATAAATTCGGCATATTTCATGTGGGCAAAAAACGTAAAAAGAAATCTACCTTGGAATGTTGTTGATTACGTTCATAGTATTCTGAATATACTAAACATAAATTATGCGAGCCTAACGTATATTGAATGTACATGTATATTAAAAAATGTAGTTTTACAAAATAACATGGCTAATGAGTTTTGAAATTTTATATTTAGTGCTTAAAAGAGACCAACAAGCCAAATAATTCCTTTCAATTCTGATCTGCAACTATAAAGTAATATGTAGCAAAAAAATCAAACTGAGAATGTGAATTGTATTATGCTTACTTGAAGCTGTACTACCAAACATACTTGCACTACCAAATACAGGCATAAACACATTTAATATTTAAATAAGGAAATTGATAAATGTTATGGTATGGGCACTGGCATTGATGGTTATAGTAGTGAAACAATAATGGTAGTGACATTTTTAATAGTAGCCAGTTTTATATGTTTACTTTAAAAGATGATTTAATGAAATTTGTCAGGCAGGTATTTCAGAATGTTTAAAGAATATGTAATAGGCAAAAGACTGCATGTTACGGCAGTGACACTGTAGCAGTATATAATGTCACCACCGTAACGGTCCTATCACAGCCGTGTTCTTCTACGCTAGACTGTCAAATGTGAAATCTTGGACAATATAGGACATAAATTCTATATAAATGTTCTACATAGACTGTTATATGTAACTGGAAGAGATAGTATTTTGTTAATAACCCTGCCTTAATAACATATATAATCTATCACTAAGGGATTGTTTGTATTCATTACTGATTAATGGATTAAACCATTACAGACTGAGGTAATCAGTATGCTAAAGTGTGTGCAGTCAACCAGAAATGTTGTTGTTATAAGCTGTGGAAGTTTTGGGATGTGGAAGTTTTGGGATGTGGAAGTTTTGGGGGGATACCCTTTAGTCTGGTCCTACATCCCCATCAATAGTGATCTATGAAAACACCCACCCTGCGGCAGCCCTTGACCGTGGAGGAACAGTGCAGTATCTCAATTCTTGCATCAGCTATACTTTGATTCTGTATCGTTGATGGATATTTTGTCGTCGTCAATTTCTGCTTCCTGTTGAAGAACATGCTACCAGTTCCATCCGATAGTGTCTATTTGTCTCAGTTGCAGCTTTGAGCATGTCAGTTCATTAAGAATACTGTGGATGAAATGGTGTACAATATGTCTATTGTTATTCCATGCCTGTCGACATGTTTGGAGTTATTCTGAGCCATGATACACTTACCTCCTTAATGACAACTGAGTTTGTTTTGTTTTTTAAAAAATGTTTGTTCTATTTTTTAAAATTGAACTCCAGTCATGTTTAAATAGATATTGTAGATTTCAATTCATGCAGAAGTTAAAACATCATTGAGATACAATAGGTGGCAGATCGACCAGAATTTAAGAAATAGTCGATTCTTGAACTTATCATATCAGAATATTTTGTCAGTTCATAATATGTTTAAGCTTCTGTTGTAAAAACTGAAAGGTTGTCATCTGTTTAGAAACAGTTTATGGTTAGAGACGATACTTTTGAAATGGATGAGAATCACGTTGATTGGATCATTATTTGAATGGCCGAATCCGAACAAAATTTAGTGAACTTTAACTTTACATCCAGATTATTGTTAAGCCGGTTTTCAAGATTTTGCCAGATAGGAGTAACCTTGCTACAATCATAAAATGGGTGTGTTGTGCACTCTAAAGAACCAGAACAAAAGCTGTACAAGTCATGATCAATGTTCTGCATCTTAAAAAGTCTGTTATCTGTTGGTAAAAGGTGGTGCAGGAGTTTGTATTGAAACCATTGCAGATTGGTGTCTTTGGAACAACGGAACGGGATATGGTTATATTGTTGGTTAGGTGTTGGTGTTACTGGCAGAGCATGTTCACAAAGCCATGTGGCACGTGGCGTGACGTGGCGTGGCGTCACTTAATCATCCCTTGATGATGAACATGTTACTACAGAGCCATCACTACATATTAACCACACTGACAGTGAGGAGTGAGTGAGTTTAGTTTTACGTCGCTTTCAGCAATATTCCAGCAATATCACGGCGGGGGACACCAGAAATGGGTGTTGATGCAAGAACTACAAATACGAAAAACTCGCACCATTTAACAAAGTTTATTCACTGGAGCATATTCGTCATGTTCATTTATTCACGTTGTGGCATTTGGTTGTACTGGTGACAATTTGGCAATATAACCTTGACGACATTGAAGTCCACATGTCAAGGGACGGTTAGAAACTGTCGGCACAATACTACACAAATCCATGAATTGGTAACATTAAAGCTGGTCTTCAGAAACTAAAAAAGAAACAAAAAATAGCTTACTAAATATGCTTTGACAAACAATACCATAAAACAGTTTCTGAAACAAGTTACTTACAGCAGCATAACTTTAAGGCATAATTACTGCTGTGTTAGTAGTTACATTGGCTGAATAATAATTCAAATGAAACATGAATTGAGAATAGAATTATTTCTGCAATGAAATGCAAACATTACTTTAGAATTCAAATTCCTATTCAATAACCATAAGCATGATAAAATACTATACTCAAAATAAGTCATTACTCAAACACCTTCAGAATTGACAGATAACCTCAAATACATGAAATAAACTTACATTTGTGTTCCAACACTCTTGTCATTCACACCAGAGACCATCTCTGTTAACACATCTGTACACCTTGAGGCCTTCCACTGTTATGCCATGTGGCTGGATTGCATGAACTGCACATGCTTTGGGTCACATGACCACACACTGCCTTGGCTCCCCTCTAGACTTACTGCTAGGCTCTTATTAAATACTGATTACATGGAAAGACCACTGAAATTACTTCTTGCTTTTTGGTAACTTGTTAGAATATAATTGAAATATAATTTAAATGACAGAAAACTACCTTTGGAAAAGAAAATTATAAAAACAATTTGCAATTAGCATTGAAAACAAAATCTGCATTCACAATGGGCTTTACACATTGTACCCATGTGGGGAATCGAACCCAGGTTTTCGGCGTGACGAACCAACGCTTTAACCACTAGGCTACCCCACCGCCCCTGACAGTGAGGAAGGAATTCAAGGAATGGCAGCGCTCTCTGACTGGTTTCCCTGTCAAACCCGAACTGATTAGCTATGGATAATATGTATCGACTGTTGTGTGCGTGCAAGAAGTTCGCGTAAATGTGCAACATCTGGCGTATTAGTTAAACACCGTATCCCACACAAGACTAAACCGCATGCATAATGTTTAACAGCACAATAAATTAGCGTACACTTACTTAAACAAGCCCATATACACTTAACAAGCTGAAGGTGAACTGAGGCAACCGTGATCTGGTCCTACATCACCATCACTAGTAGTTGATGCTCTTCACTGGAAAACTACATCCGTCGCTACTGCAGCCTTGTCCGTAGAGGAACAGAGCAGTGAGTATCTCAATTCATGCATCTTTTGAATTTACAAAAACGTAACAGAAATCAAATTCTCCATCATTAATGGATATTTTACCATCTGCTTCCTGCTGCGGAATATGACACAAGCTCCAGCTTAAACCGGCTATTTGCCTCAGTTGCTTAAATAGCTGCGAGTATGTGCTGTTCATAGACAATACCGGGAAGAAATGGTGTATCTACTGTTATATGTTCAGTGTTACTCCAAGCTATGATACCCCTTCCTCATTGGCACGAGCGGTGAAGAATTAGAATTGATCTTTAGTAATCAATGCTTGTGGTAAGAGGCGACTAACGGGATCCGGGGGGGCAGACTCGCTGACTTGGTTGACCACATGTCATCGTATCCCAGTTGTGTAGATTGATGCTCATGTTGTTGATCACTGGATTGTCTGGTCTAGACTCGATGATTTACAGACCGCCGCCATATGACTGGAATATTGCTGAGTGCGGCGTGAAGCTAAATCTCACTCACTCAAGCTCTACACATTGACACAATTATACCGACCTACTTGTGTTTACGCGTTGCTGGTGTTGCCAGCAGAGCATGCTGACTGAGTTAGTGAACACCTGGTGTCATCATTGATTTACAGTGATCACTGTGTTGTCCGTTGAGTACCATCGTAACTGTTTAGATATATTTTCTCATGTTGGAGTTTCAAGATATAATTAGTAGCGTAATTCTATATTACAGGGACAGATACACAGAGTGTTAATCTGACGTTGGTCTGCTCATTTTGAGAGGTTTCAAGTCAATACAAAGCAAAGATAAATCAAAGACTAAATAGGAAGCTCAGCAACATACAATTGTCTATATATTTCCCATTTGATGATGACGCATGTTACTACTGAGCCGTCACTACATATCCAATACACTGACAGTGATACTGCCAAGCTCAGTGTTCCTAGGAATGCCGATCAAGGTCACAACAATGTTGCTGGGTGGAAGTGGTCAGTGTTTGCAAGGTCGCCAACAGCACGTAAACAGCACTTTGTGGTTTGTTTTTCAGGAACTACCCCTGAAATCTTTCTGAAGTGTTTCGCCGAGTTCATTATTGAATCTCATACAAATTATCTCCTGTCACTGCCATGTTCTAGTTCGACGATGTTTGGAGAACACTTTAAAGTTAGAAAGGCATTTGTTTCCACAACAACAGAGCACCTCCTGCAACAGATGAAAAAGATGTTCCTTCAAATGCAACAGATTCCACATCGCATTAATTCACCAATACCCGTGGTTTATGTTTTTTCTGGAACCGGGTCTGCATGGACTGGGATGTGCAAGCATTTGATTGAAAATAACCACACCTTCAAAGCTGCCATAGAAGACATTGCTGTCTCTTTGAGGAGGTATGTTCCTTGGTCTCTGACAAAGAGATTTGCAGAGAGTTATGACGTTGGGGATTTGATCTTTGATCCTGTTTCCATATTTGCATGCGAGGTGGCACTGGCGCGGCTCTGGCAAGAGCTGGGAGTAGAACCGTCTGCAGTCGTAGGTCAGTCTCTTGGAGAGGTGGCAGCTGCTCATATAGCTGGGATACTTCCTCTTGACGAGGCAGTGAAGGTTGTCTTTCACCGGTCCAAGATACTGTCCCAAACTGAAGAAGGAAAGATGATACTGGTGCGTAACCTGGAAACAACGAAAGTGGAGGCAATGTGTTCAAAGTATAAGGGTAAATTGAATGTAAGTTTGTTCCACAGTCCAGTATCGTGTTCGGTCTCTGGAGATAGGAAGGCTGTTGATGCACTTGCAAATGAAATATCTCTGCATCAATCAGAAATTAAGATAATTGCTCTTGACCGTTCCCGCGCTTACCACAGTCATCATATGGAGGTAGGCCAGCAGCAACTCGTTCAAGAACTGAACCATCTGAAAACAGAAGACCCTTCAGTCAGGATGATTTCTACACTGTCACCAGATTATACCTCACAGGACATCAGGTCAACCAAATACTGGGGTCAACACTTACGACAACCTGTTCAGTATTGTGAAGCGATACGAACAGCTGTGAGCAAACAAAATGCTATCTTACTTGAGATAGCACCGAGGCCAATACTGAGGGCCCATTTGAAAGACATTTTCTTTGATCGGCCTTCAGTCCCTCTGTGTCTGTCGTCTATGTCTTACCCAGGGACGAACGAAGACTTGCTTGAGTCCGCCGCAGTTCTGTATGAGCACAATATAAACATAAAGTGGGAGGCTCTGATTATGGAAAACACGTCATCGCCTGAATGACGGAAACAAATGGATGATGGTCTAATATGTTAATATTACACAGAAGATGATGAACGTCATATGCCAGTTTCTTCGTATGAAAAGCAGGAGTTTCGGCAAGATTTGAGGAAATAAACATCTGAATTCTTTTTGTTCAAAGAACGTGATTCGAATGTTTTATATGTGGGTTTACTTCACCCACATCTTTGACTGACTGATTAGGGGTGACTATTGAGGGGGAAACAACTATAGCGATACCGATAGTCTATTGCGACCAACTATTGCAATAGTTTTAGTTTTCTCTCTTGAATTGTCTCATTTGAAGTCATTTCCCAAATAAAAACAACTTGAAGTAGTTTCAGTCTCTTTTAATAACTCACAAGAAACTTGAAACACAAATCAAGTAAACACTTAAAACATAAACTCAAAGAAGCTGCAAATCTGCACCAATAAAAAACAACAAAACAACATAACTATTGAAAATAAATAACCATCCCAATACCCATTTGGATTGAACATTTTTATTGAAAACTGAAAGTATCTAGGAATTGCACATCTGATACGGTAACTTATGTACATTGTAAGTCCTCAGAACACAACAATGAGATATCACAATAATAAAGTGTCCAGATCAAAGTCAAAGAATATTTTCAAAAGTTACAGATACCAAAGCTTAACCATGTTTCAACATATATTGTCAAACTATGACTATGAATTAAGCAAAGAAAGAACGTTGAATACTCCAGAAAGTGTCTGAATAAACATAGTAACTTTATACCCAAAGTGAAGGAATCTGGTACTTCCTGCATTTATCAACTTTGTCAAACTATGACTATGAATTAAGCAAAGAAAGAACGTTGAATACTTCGGAAAGTGTCTGAATAAACATAGTAACTTTATACCCAAAGTGAAGGAATCTGGTACTTCCTGCATTTATCAACGGAAGTCAATTACTAAGCTAAACAGCCGCACTCGCCCTGGACAAGTATCTGCTGGATGTAGGGGACGCTTATGAGTATGTCCAAGAGCGTTCGTTGTGGTACTCTCAGATGGTAGTTCAAGAGACGGAAGACAAAAGTCAGCAGTATAGTTGAAGACAGCAGCAGCCATGTTTATTACGGTTGGAGAATAATAGTAGAAATGGTACATAAGATGGAAATCACGTGACAGAACGCACATCGGGACCGAGTGGCCAATGTTCCCGATGTGGAGACCCGCTCTGTCACTTACACAGATTCAGAAGTCGGACGGCGATTCTTCATCGTCGACGTAGTCGTTGGTGAGGCGAAGGCCTTGGCCGACGCCCCGACTAGCCGCCCAGTCCGACCGCTTCGGTGGATGATCTGGGCCCGTTTCCTCGCCTCGTCTCTGACTGGTCTCCCTGCTTGGTCTCCCTGACTGACCATGTGAGTCCGGTTTTATGCATAGGGACATTACGCCACGTTGTGCAAGGTCACTGACCTGTGCACATGTACATACGTAAGATCTGCCGACGTAGGGAGATGTTAATTGACATTTACTGATGGCATTGAGAATTAAGGGTCCTGCCCTGAGGGGGGTTTAAGATAAAAGGGCTACACCGAATGATTGCTGAATACATTAAACAGACAAAGTGGATAGAATTTCGGTGCACTTTGGATATATATGTAAACAATTATGTTGTTTGAATATATGAAGTTTTACAGAAACGTATTGAAATGGTTTACTTTATGACAAGTAGTTGTTCTGTCATATAAATGTTAAGAATATGTCTACTATGTATACCACCAATATGGAGTACATATCACACAACGCTTCAGGGCGTGTGTTGGTAGTTAGTGCACGTGTGATATCAGCAACGTGGAAAATTTGGTATGTATCATGTAGTTGAAATCATTGTGCATATACTTCGTAGATTGTTTGGGGTCGGTGGGGTAGCCTAGTAATTAGTGGGGTTTCGTAATTAGACTGTTGGCTGGAAACTATAATCGCTCTGGATCAGTGGCCCTTTAAAGCGTTCGCTAGTCACGCCGAAGACCCAGGTTCGATTTCCCACATGGGTACAATGTGTGAAGCCCATTCCTGGTGTCCCCGCCGTGATGTTGCTGGAACATTGCTAAACGCGGCGTAAAACCCAACTCACTCACTCAGCCACTCACGCACTCACTCACCCACTCGTAGATTGTCTGCCAAGTCCAAGTTGGAAGCGCAAAACCTGGTGTGTACATGTATGTTAAACAGATCAAATAGGACCAAATTTGGAGTATGAAGATTATACATTCAAATGTACGGTAATGTGTTCTGAGGTGAATAAACGGAGAATGCAATAAACTATCTACATTATTTTTCTGACGACTGGGGAGTGAAACAGCTGGATTTGTGATACAGCCGGACCAAGGAGAGGAAGACTGAGGCAGCTTGTCCATGTGATAGGGTTACGGGTTGACTCCCAGGTTGAAACTAGAAACAGGAAGTAGAAGAACTAGAAGTGAAACCACCAAACAACAAAGAGAGACTGAGGGAGTATTGTTTTACGCCGCTTTTAACAATATTCCAGCAATATCACGGCGGAACAACCAACAAAGAAATATGTTGTGATTACCAATCACATTCTAAACATAACTAAGTTCACAAATCCCAACAGAACTCAATAAAGGTATGACTGTTGCAGTACAAAACAGAGTCACAGTACAAATTCAAAGTGTGACAGAATTGCGTTCCAAGCCCGGAATCGCTTAAAGTACGCAAATTAATCACTTATCCCGGACTTGCAACAGCTCGAAGCGTTTTTCACTCTTCCAAAATGGCAGAGCGATTACCGTTTGTTCGCCAGGACCTAATGAAGAACGTAATAAAAGAATCCCGATGACGAGCTGATGAATTTATGATTGTTGATGTCTACATTGGACCTGTGGAACAAACTGAGGAATCTGGGATGTAATCTGCCTCTGTCAAATTCCCACCTGATCAATGCAAACAATTCTTGTTCAGCCGTCGAATTCAAATTTCCCTAAGTCGCCAGTTTGATTTGATAATGAAGCGACCTCATCCAGCGGTTGGTGCGATTGCTAGAGGCTGAAACTTAACACTCGGTTGTCAGGCGAATCGCTGTACATCGCTTAGAAGCGATAGTTGTTTGCGATGCACCCATACTTTCCGGGGGGAGTGAGGAGAACTGACGATGAAGGACAGCTTGTATGAGACTCATTCGCGTCAATTTCACCGCACTTACATACAGTAACAGATAAATGTAACATATTCGCAACGCTTCTGTTTTCTATGCCACATTATGAATTGTCCATGCATTTGGCAACAGATGTTGATTGAGAGTCAATCCCTACACAGAAATAACCGAACTAATTTATGTGTTGAAGCCTAATACTGCCAATTCTGTAGCATAAAATACCTTTTCAGCAAAAATTCTCGCAGCACAATGAAATACGTAGAATGTTTGTTCGGGTTTCTTATGATGCTTGCTAAAACAAATATCGTCCAGCTATACAACATTGTCGGGATGTGGATCAGACAACCAGAGTTAAATATCTCTGAGAGAGATGTGTGACACACGAAATGTGTGTCCCAAATTTCCGCATTTTTTAAGATAATACCTCAAAATGACTGTGTCAGGGGTTATTAATTATAATCGCTACGAGTTTCAAAACAATAATATCGTATTTGTATGTAATTAATGAACCTTAATCTTTAACATCGGGCTTATATTTCATAGCTCTGGGAATATTTTAGTCTGAGTGGTTTTTTGGTCATTCATATTTATTTCAGCGAATCCATTTGAAATTCCACAAGGGGTGTGACAGCAAGGTTTCACGAATGTTCAGTCTGAGAAATATTTTAAAGTCATTTTTGAGTATCTGCTTGGGGATTTAATGTAGCTGATTTTTTTTGGGTGTATATTCAGTAAAACAATTCCCATTTGTGATGATTAAACCCTATTAAGAAAATTAACATAATTGGAAATATAAGGTGAACAGCTGGTAATAATTACATTAGAATATGTCTTTAACAAATATGTTTTTCTCCTTCTTTTAGTTGTATCAAAGTGGTTTAATTCTTTAAAATACATAAGTAAAAAAACCCAAAAACAACAACCTAGCAATGTACATGTGCTTCGGTGATATTAAGAAACATTGGAATCAAACAGGGTTAGAATTATCGTTCTTGTTTAAAGTAGTTCTGATGTTCATACGCCAATGTGAAATCCTTCCAGAGGGGCACGAGTCGCTATTCGGCTTGTCCCGGAATAACACGAGTGGGTCACGAATGGGAAAGTGATTGACCGAGCGCTTCAACCGCCTGTTGAACATCCGCACCTGTTCATCCGCACCTGACGCCACTGCTCTCGTGCCCGCCCGCCGGCCTTCACATGTTTCGCTTGATGCGTCTCAGTCGAACACGCTTGCACAATCAGTGACATTAATGAACAAGACAAATATGTCTTTCTTCAGATTTCGATCATACACTTTTTGCGGGTCCTATCCATGGAGTTGTGTTCAATATCAACGTTGACATTCCATGGAATACATCTAGACTTCATTCGCCCGCAAGAAAAATGCCGTAGAATCCAAAGAATTGCATCCTCAGATGAGGAGGAATTAAATGTCTCTGACAAATTTTATATTCACATCTAGTTTGACTGTTACAATAGTTTTTTGCGATAATATAATCAATTCATATTCGAAAATAACTATTATACTGACAGGATATAAAACTGATACTATATTTCTACGAAGATTGTAAAAATTATATAGAGCACGTCGTGTCTTACATTGGTCAAACCTTATATCATTATTCTGATAGTTCCATACAAAAAGAGCTATGTTTTTGCATCTTTCATTGTACACATAAGAAGAGAAATACTTATGTTCACTATTTGTTGCTGCAGAAACAGAAACTGAAAATCATGCATTCTTCTGATGTGGCAAACATCAGCGGCACAGGGACCATTACTTCAAACAACTACAAAATGTCTACAAAGGCCCACTAACTATGACGCCAATTTTGCAATCCCAAAACCCCCAAGTTATATATTGCACAGCTCTATTTTTACATTATGTTTTTAAAGTAAGATCCCAATATAAATTATGACCACTGTTTCATGAAACTGCCAAATTCTGTGACTGTAGGCCATGAGGCGGATATAACTTCTGTCTGCCACATAATCATAAACAAACAAAAGTCTTTTGAAAAATATTTTCATGTGCATTGAAGTATTCTTTTATTGATGTCAAACAGGTGCGCGTGTTGTTCACATTAAGATACACAACCAAACTATCTAATTGTTTATCTACTCAGGACATTATTTAAATGATAAAATCAGTCATTTTATGTTCTGAAGAGCTTTAAATTCTGACAAAGAAACCGATACCTTTTATTCAATTAATGGGAATATAATTATACTATCAACATACCAATGTCTCATTCTCCGACGTCGCAAAATACATAAACAAGCCATGACGTCAACTAAAATGTTCCAGCATTTTTAGTAATTTAATTACATTTGAACACATGGCTGTTAATTATGGTGCAAAATTAGTAAAAATACGTCATCATTAACACTAGAATATGAGAATCTAAGAACTATTTTACATGTTAGATAGGGCTATCCAATTCGCTAAATAATTCGCATAATACGATGTCATCATTTCTTGAAAATTGTGATATTACCAAAACGTATTACCATTAAAGTGTGGAACTTTGGATTGGAATAGTTTGGTTCACCGTTAACAAGACATCACGAAAGCATAGTGTCAACAGCAAAGTCTCTCCTAATAATCCAAGTTGCAATGATCTAGTATTAAGCATAGCGGAGTTATGTCCCCTTATCTTATACGTGTGTGACGTCTCTGTCGAGGTTTGACGTTACAGAGGAAAATCCATCTTTAACATTTATTGCAAGTTATTTTTAAATTGAGTGTCTAACGTTATACATAAACACACAAAGCAATTTCACATATACTTATGTCGTTCAGATATAGGGCAGTATTTTGTTCGCTTACACTTTCCGTAAAGGTGCTAAAGTATACTACAAACAAAAAATATGGGAACACCCTAAAATTTGATAGTCGTATATAAACTGAAACGTGGTGAGGTCGTTTATACTCTAAGGTATATGCTGCTTTTTGTGTGCTTGAAACGATATGTTGGAACATGCAGTGAAGCAACTGATTCAATATTCGTTGAGTTTGAGTGAAATGAAACATTGTTAAAAACAGCGAAAAACAAGGATGCTTAAACACACCAGCACCATGTTTGATTCAAACGCCCAAACACAACAGCCTAGTGCATGTGGAAGACAGACGTCCCATGCAGCAAAAGTTGCATTTACCTTAGAGTATAAATAACCTCACCTCGTTTCAGTTTATTTTCGACTATCATATTTTAGGCTGTTCCCATATTTCTTGTAGTATATATAAAAGCGGAGAGATTTACTGTTTATTAACAAGATTTCGGACAACATCTAGTAGTGTATTTGCAGGTTTCTGTTTACTCTCACTTCACAGTTCTCTTACCTGATTATGTAAGGATAAAACACACCAAATGACAAAATATCTGAAAATACCTTCAACAAGTTTTGTTCATATTAAGAAAGAAAAACGAATCAATTTTGAATCATGAACGCTGACACACGACAACATGAATGGCACACACCATGTCAGTGTCAGTAACGACATGTACTCCGTCTCTTTCTACACCAACACTGCACTGACTTCACAGAGCACCACGTGACAGTGCACCACGTGACAGAGCACCACGTGACAACAGGAGCTCTGCCACTTTCTGATGTCCCCAGTCTCTGGCCACGTGGGCCGCTGAATCCCCGTAGATGTTCCTTACGTTGATGTCCACCTCGTCCTGTGACAGGATCAGCTTCACGACATCTAGGTGTCCTCCCCGACAGGCGTAGTGAAGGACGCTGTTACCGTCCCGGCCATCAGTGACACATCAGCCCCTTTACCCACAAGGAGCTCCACCACATCTCTGTGTCCATTCTCTGCTGCCCCTGTTTACGTGACCCACTGACAGGATCCGCTTCACAGCCTCAAGGTCACCGCGCCAACTTGCGGAGTAGAGGTCGCGGTGTGCTTGTGATGGAGTCGCTGCAACACAAAGTAAATTGCGTACATCAAACATCTTTATCACACAACTGGGGCGGTGCGGTAGCCTAGTGGTTAAGGCGTTCGCCCGTCACGCCGAAGACCCAGGTTCGATTCCCCACGTGGGTACAATGTGTGAAGCCCATTTCTGGTGTCCCCCGACGGGATTTTGCTGGAATATTGCTAAAAGCGGCGTAAAACATACTCACTCATTTGTCACACATCTACAATGTTTTCATCATGTTGATACTTAACTCGGGCGTTGCTACATCATTTAAATAATTCCATCATGCATGACAACAATGCAACATGCAACATGATGAGAATGCCAACATATAGTTTCTGGAATTTCTGGAATGGTGTGTTTGACGTATAAAATCGTTTTGTTAGAGCCAGATGTTGTAGCAATATCTTGTGTACCGCTTGACAGTGTTCATGCTTTTTTAAAAAACTTTACAAGTTGATAATGTCAGTACAACTGTTGTTTGGTAACTTAGGATTGTAGCTAGCTTCACTGACTTTCAGCTGTGGGTGTTTGAGAGCTGTTTTCGCATTGAATTTGTTGTGCTTCCAGCATAACTTAAGGTTGTTCAACAAAGACGACATTTAGTGTTCTTTACCGTTGAATCAAGGTCAAAATGCGCCCAAACGTTTGACTTTTTCCCTCGATCATCCATGATAGACACGTGGCAGATGTTACGATTAGAGTTTTCTCCCTTTTGGGTACTTGCGTCCTACGAATTGGACTCGAGTCCTGCACGACCCGACTCGGCCTCGAGAACTCGAGTACTCGTGGGAGCCCTAGTAATAAGATATAACGTTGGTTTATGTCAGAGTGTTTTGGTTGTTGTTTAGCGCCACGCCCAGCAGTATTCCAGCTGTCTGATGGCGACATCATCATACATATCTTGTCAATGACATCCTGTGATTGACAATATGAACGTCGATCGATACCATAGAGGAGACTCATCCCTCAAGTCATAATCCCCACGGGTATATAGTAATCTACATCAGTCTGTTAAATGCAGGAAGGATAAAGGACATAGCTTCCTGCCTGCTGGGTTCCCCCACCTACCTTGCAGATCAGAGTATTGTGTCGTCACTGGCACTGGTGGACCCGTCTTGCTCTGGCTCGGATCCTGTCTCGGGTCAGTGGAGGCTGAAACAAGGAATATGTTGTTCAGCTTATAACTAGGACTGCACGATATTACTGTTATAAGGTAAAAATGCATCCCTAAACCCATGAGAGAATTACATCAGATTCAGTATTTACATTTGCAGTTTTGCTCATGAGTCATAATGGTTTGGCACGGTAGGCAAACAGAGATTCGAGAGAATGGCGTTTAGCCGAAGGCTAGGGACAGAGAGACAGAACACATTCGGTGTGAAATACATAACAGATTAATCTTACATTGGTTCAATAACAAATCAATTAAGAGATTTGAGTGACCGAACGGTGCTGCTCAATATTCAGGAGGCACAATATTCATGAGGGCAAGGTCGGATATAGGATTAACGAATCAAAACGATGAGTTGAAACATGAGATCTGGGCAGGCTCGAACCATATATAAGACAGGTTTGGCGCGGGTAGAGTGGTGCGCGGCCCAACATCCTCGGAAGCCAGTCCACGCCACCCAGTTGCCCCGTGCCTGCCCTGTCTTTTGATGAAGTTGTATTTAGAGATGGACTGAGACAGAGTAAAACTATGTGAGTATAACCTTGGTGTTGCGTTTATCTATGAAATGTGTGCCAGTACATGGCACGCGTGGCTAGTTAGGAGTCACGGTCGTCGGACCCCTCACTCCTTGACTTAGTATCCAGCAACGGACCAAGCGAGTGGAGCGCCAGAGCTACCATCTCCCCGAACAATGTGGAACGACCATAATTAGTAGGCAACTGTGGTAGGGTTTACTGAAACCCAATCGCCGGTTACGACATTACCGGTGTACCGGTTTATCGCAATACGCTTTTCAAACCATACGTATTGCAATAGTTTGTATGGGAACCGGTATATTGGGTAAAGAACATATATGAAGTTTTGTGATATGGTTTGAATAAAAATCTCCACGTACTTTCATTCAAAACAAATGTTTTCCTTCGTTATTCAATCATGACAAAAAGAAAATAGAATCTCTGACTATGCAACCTAATTTGAGATTGCTCTTATCAGAACCATAACACATATGTTTAGGGACTGATAATGTAGAAAATAGGATTGACATGCATGATTAGTGTCACTCACTGTCAAACATTTAAGTTCCCAATATATCGCAATAACGGTACCTGAATCGCAATATATCGCAATACGTGTCGCAATAAGGGTACCTGAATCGCAATATATTGCAATACGATTTATTTGCCAATACACATTCCTAATTATAACTACTGGCCACAGAGAGGTTTGAGCCTTTCACAAATGTCTTGCCGCCTTTCAACATTATGTTGGGCTAAATTCCAGATACATCAGCTACAGCAGAGGTATTAAAAATATATTTTTCAATTTGTTTGAAATAACTGTTCAGACGACGTGTCTATGCAGGAAAAGGTAACACTTCCTAAATTCAGTTTTTAAAGTTTTAATCTGTAAATGCAATAAGCTGTGCACTGACAGTGTGTTAACAGCTGAGATGCTCCTCTTTGTTGAACTGTTGCAACTGAATAGACTGTTATATTGTTGTGATATATCAACATGAACGGTGTAACCCCAGGGTTTGTTTTAAGTTAGGGGCGAACATATTTTCAATGGGCACTTCATATCAATATACATGATGATTCACATTACTACACTGAAAGAAAAATAGATAAACAGATGGACGTATACCTGCTCTTAATTCCTCTATAATAATCTATTAGGCTGTACCCACACGCCCAATCAACTCTATGCAGGACATGCACCCTTGGCATGTCCTTGTAACCATATGTTCAAATGCCCAACACAATCTACGTTGAGATACCCAATAACCTATATGTACACATACCCAATAAAATATGAGATCGAGCGACATTATGTCCACTAGCCCAATAAACCCTATGTTGACATGTTATGTGAAGCCTATGTTCACATATTATTTGAACCCTATGTTGAAATGTTATGTGAGCCCTATGTTGACATGTTATGAGAACCTTATGTTGACATGTTATGCGAACCCTATGCTGAAATAAGGGTGGTTTAACATTGTCGTATTCAAAAAATGAAAGGTTTCTACGATACAAACACAAAACATCTACCTCCGAGATATTGTTTCAAAAGCAAAATACACATACTTAATACGTATGCAGTATGACTGTAAAACTATTGGCTAAATTCAAACGAAATAATAATGTTATGCTCATATCTTCCGAATGGAATATCAAGATAGAAGGTTAATTAAGCGTCTAATTACTAAAACTGTTACCTGCTGTAGTTCCAGGATACGTCGTAGTCGAAGTCGTCAATGACACCTGCGACAATGACGATGTTGTCAACGAACTTTCATTAACGTCACTCTCCTTAAACGCTTTCCTCATCCAACAACAACAAGACATATTCAGTGTCACTAAGTCCTCTGTAAGACCAGAGAGTTGTTGCTTTGCATCAAAAAGTTCATAATTGGTGCGATTTAGTTCAGATTTCAGCATCCGTGCATCATGCAGATCAGCTACCGTCTGGTTCAGCTGCAGGTGTAATGCGCGAATGTCTTTGGTCACTTCGCCTCGTAGTTTTCCAAGACTCTCTCTGTAACTGTCGCTGAAGGGGTCTGTATTCTGATTTTGGCTAGGATACATATCTGTATACAGAAACGTACCTGGGGTACACATCTGTAGTACCCGTGCCGACAACGACCCCTTCAGCGTAAGTGTCTCTTTCCCGTTCAACACGTCTCAACTCTTGTGTTATTGCTTTGTGTTTTGCACATTGGCTTTCAGGAGAATATTGAGAATATGTCCGCTGATAATTGCTTGTTTGACGAGAGGCTTTATCAATGGAAGAACGAATGTTCCAGTCAGTTCTTCTTTCAGCGATGACTCCAACACCTTGAACTTGCTAGTCAGTTTTGTCTCAGTATCAACAGCTGTACGTTTCCATGCATTCATCTCCAATTCCACCAGACTCACCCGTGTAGACAAGGCTGCCAAACTGACATCAGCATGCACGTCCTTGACGCCACACGAGACCAGACTGAAGAACATAAGCGTTGACATTTCCATTGCGCAAGTGAACTGTGCACCACGCAGCTAGGAAGACGACCGCCTCGCCTCCGGGTAAACGGCTTTTATGGCCCGACTCAAGTGTTTGGCAGAATGCCAGCCTGGGGAAACACACGCTACACCAGTAGTGTGCGTACACGTGGCGTCATAAAAACTGACATGGCGGATAACTACATGAGAAATGAAATGGATATCCAGTGCCAAGTACTCAGTGGGCACAACGCTGTTCTGTGTATTAATTGTAACACCAAATGTATTAAAGTAACACCAAATATATTGTAACACATGTTATAATTGGGATTACACGGATTCTCGGTGAAGTACAGATTCTAGTATTTTTGTTAGGTTGAGTCCACAGAGGGCCATAGGCGGATCCAGAGGGGTGGGGTGTGGGGTGTTTGGGGGTGCAGGGGTGCGCACCCCCCTTTTTGTGCTGAAAGTTTGTTAAATGACCGTTGAAACTCGGGTGAAAATGAAGTGTGCGCCCTTCCTTTTCTCAATAGTGTGCACCCCCCCTTTCTCAAAAAGCTGTATCCGCCCCTGTGAGGGGTACACTTTGTAATAGTCTTGTCTCACAGTCCCTGAACAACGTTATTTTCCCTACAACCTAGCCCTCCCTGCAGTGCTGAAGCCCTAAATAAAGCAAGTCTACATTTCCCTCGGTTCAGGGTCTGTTAACATCTGCCAGAAAACTAACTCACTTTGGGGATCGGATTACAAAGTAAACATATCTAACTGCCATGGCTGGTCTGACCAACATCCTCACCAGTGGTCTGGAATCTTACCTCACATTTCCATCTGTCAACTCTTAATTAGAAGCACTCGGGGTGACACGAAGCTATAGAGTGGGCCTTATGCACAGTTTCTGGTATTTAGGAGATAAATCAAACAAAATGTTGGGGAAATGTTCCTCCTGAATGTTATGCTATAAAAGGTATTTTTCATTGCCTGGCTTGGGTCCACACACCTGGCAGCTCCATTGTGACTGGTTAATGTTTTAATGATAACTAAAACACAAGGATTCTTTTGATTCCTGGTATAGGAGATTATGGTGTGAACTTCGGTTGTGTTTTGATTATCTCTGTTTATCTACGCTAATTGCTCAACAGTAAAACTCAGTGTCAACATATGGCAGTGACCGATTTGTTCACAAGCCACATGTTTCGCTTAGTCTGTCTCACAGTCCCTGAACCACATTATTGTCCCTACTGCCAAGCTCTCTCTGCAGTGCTAAAGCCCTAAATAAAGCAAGTCTAGATTTCCTCAGGTGAATCTCTGGTCTCCCTAGGGCTCCTTTTCAATTTAAATGGGCTTGTTTGTTACTATCAAAATTATATATATTCAGAGACTAAGCCTTAGTCTAGTTCAGTCTGAATGATTTAATCCAGGGATTGTTATAGGACAAGTATATGGCGCACATATCCACGCAGCTAGCACATGCTCAAGGTGCTGTTATTTCTTTCCCTCGATCATTGGATGTCAATCTCAACGGCACATGGTATTATCAATTTCAACTCTCTGGGGATCATATAACTCTTGCAGCCACTAGACGCACCAAGTTATTGCGGTTTTCCTATCCTTACGAGGTACCCATTCACAGCTGGGACAGCGCAACGAGGTGTTTGTACGTATTCATGTGGCCACCATCTGGATGCGTGGGTTCTTTTAAGTGCACACGGTTCAAGTAGAGTCTGCACACACAGTTGACTCCAAGGTTCATATTCCAGGAATTGTTACAGAAACAGATGGTTTGTTTTGGTTTTTTTTTTGTTTTGTGCAAGCAAACTGAACACAGTGAATATGAACAGAAATGAAGATATGGAGAAAGCCATACAAGTTGGACTTGAAAAACTACGAAAAGAAGAAATACGTCCAAACCAACGGATTGTTATCACCAGAGACCATATAATAGAGGGACGGCCCTCCCCAACAGTTTATCACTAACCATCAGCGCTACGGCCTGGCATGTAACTGATACACATTGACACCCTGCTGCTATCTTCCCTCTACCGGTACACATGCGCAACAAATGCGCAGACATTCGCAAATGAGCGCTCTGGTAACTACGTAAACAATATTGCGTAATATCCGGACCGAGAGTTAATTGCCTTAGCGGGATTTCACCGGCTGCGTTTGACAGTTAAACCAGAGACCATATAATATTCTTCATGGAATGCTCTGCAATAAATATCTTATCTTATTATATGGTCTCTGTTATTACGTCTTACGTCAATGACCTGTAACAGCGGCAGTGTTGGGTTATAAATGTCCACTTTTGTCAATGTAGGTCATGCTAAGAGCAAAGTTGTACATTTCATGTAATCCGACACCTTATAAATCGGTTTGCTACGTTTGCTCTCTTTAAAAAAAAATTAAACACCTTTCTAATTAAACGTTTAGCATCATCTGAATAAGCTTTCATGATGACAGCTAGAAGCAGTCAATGTGAATGATCCAAACGGTCTATCACTGTGCAGTGCACAGGTAACTATCATGAACTGCACGTGCATTTACCTTTATGACCCAACACTGCCGCTGTTACAGGTCATTGGCTCCCTCCCTCTGCGAGCAGTCTGCGTTCTGCTGTGTATTTTGTTGACAGTTACATAGACAGATTCTTTAATACAATTGCATAAAATCGGTGATTTACAATGTGATTAGGTTGTCTGACAAAACATCCACTTGCAAAGTTTGAGATCGATTGGATCACTGGATGAAGAGATATTTACAAAAAAACCGGGTCCACATGCATTTCATGCCAAACTATAGTGTGGATGGTCTGGTATCTAGTGTTGAACTTCTAAAACATTCAGGAGCTCAAAGATGCAGAAGCAAACCTGGGTCCAGTTGTACAAAGCGATCTTAGCGCTAAGGAGACCGTAACTCCGATACCTTAACATAGACGTACGACTAGCGTAGCGCTAAGGTGACCGTAACTCCCATACCTTAACATAGACGTACGACTAGCGTAGCGCTAAGGTTGCCTTGTACAACGGCACCCTCATCTTTACAAATTCCACGATTTGGTGACAAAGTTGGACAAATTTATATATTCAGAGACTAAGCGTTAGTTTAACTTTGTAATTGTATTTGGACCTTTTGGCCGTGGGAATCGTGGCAAATTATACTTGTCAGGGGGGTGCACAAAGTCCAGACAACAAAACACATAAAACACCTCCTACTTTTATTGCGTAACACATATCAGGGTCCTTTATGTATTACTGTACACAAATATAATAATGAGGCATATTTCCATTACTTATTACACACAGCATTACTAGGTTACAACACAGTGTCACTCACTCACTTCTTCAGCACTGCATTACTCACTCAAACACAACATTTCTCACTCAATTCCTTAACGCTTCACTACTCATTTTTTTAAAATTCTTCCACTTTCTGGCCGCTTCATTGCTCGCTTTCTTAAAACACATCATAAGTCACCTACCTGAACCAAATTTTCTCTCTTAACACTGCGTTACTCACTTACTCACTCACTAAAAACTACATAAATCACAGTATCACTCACTCACGCCTTCAACACTGCATTACACACTCACATTTATCAGCAGCCGTCTCACTTTCTTAAAAACAACATTACTCAGTTCGTTAACGCTGCAGTACCCTCACTTAAAGGAGAATACGAGTGAATTGCAATAATTTGCTTGGTGAAAGATAAAGTCATCAGAAACATATTCCCAAATTTTTTAATTAAAAATTATGTATAATTATGTTTTAATCGCGAAAACAGTTTCTGTAAATTTCAGCTTCGGCCATTATGCATATTTCGCTGGAACCCACGTGTCGTTCTTTTAAATGGTACGATGGTGTATTGCGTTGCCTGGGGATGCACGGCATCATCGTACATGGGAAAGAAACACCATTTCTTCCGTTTTCCAAGTGAAATGACAGATTTCGGCAGGAGAAATGCGCCGATCATTCCGAGTCGGACGCATGTGAAAGAGACATGCACGCATGGGGTATGGAAATCCCCAAGCTAGGCCGAAGAAGGAAAAAGTATCCACGAGATTCATTTATACTCCATCATTCCCTGTAACAACTTACTGTCAGTGTATTTTAACATAAATTAAATCAAGTCCGGTTGCCAGTCGAATTGCCCCCGCTACAAAATGACCCAGCAAATTTGGTCAAATTGCCCCAGTGGGGTAGTCAAAATGCCTCAATTTATTTAAAATGAATAAATATAGGCCATAAATGCATAGTTTTGTCAACTTTGATATTATGTTCTTCATATATAAGTATATACATAGTTATGAGTTTACTAATGAAACATTTATCAGAAATATTACTTCCTAATAACTTTTATATGAAGAACATAATATCATAATAAGTTGACAAAAAACTATGCATTTACGGCATATATTCAATCATTATAAATAAATTTGAACAAATTAGAATGAATGACCAAATTTGCTGGGGCATTTTGTAGCTGAGGGAATTCGACTGGTACACATGAGATATATATTATGAAAATCAGTAAGTGATTTCACATGAGCTTGAAAATGTTTCGCTATAACGTTCTTTTCGGTTTGGAGCCCTAAATGATGCAGTCAACTCGAAACATTGCCGAATACAACGGCAAATCATGAAGTACTTGTTGCTTTCATATTTTTCCATTTTGCCAATTACGCACGTCGGCATCAGACTCGCTATTTGTCAGTAGTGTGTGCCGTGAAAGTTGTTCTGTATTCTCATTGGCTGACAAGATGTCATTCTAAGGC